AAGAGTGATAGAGAAAGTGAGAAAGAAAGCCACCAGGTCCAGGACTTGAACCACTATCAGCCATGTGGGAGTCCAGCACTCTTAACCACCATGTCATCTGCTGGCCCCATCCCAGAGTGATTTTTAAGCCACTGGGTCCGAGACTGGGACCACAGTCGGCTTTGTAGGAATCTTAATGACATAACTGCTGCTGATCACCTCTCTTTTTAAAAGTTTGCTATGGGGGCCGGCAGGTGGCGTGGTGGTTAAGGGCACTGGACTCCCATATGGCCTACCACAGTTCAAGTCCCGGACCTGGCAGCTTGAAAATCATGCCGGATGTATGGACATGCATGCCCAGAATCCCAAGAGGAAAATGTAGAAGGGACTGCAGCATGGCCATCCCCTCTGGGGGGAGGGGGTGACTTCTCACTTTCCCTATGACCAAAACTTCAAAGAAAAAAAAAATTTTTTTTCAAAGAATTATTTTATTTAACTTTATTTATTATTATTATCATTATTATTTTCCAGTTTGCTCAGAGAGAGACAGAGAGAGAGAGGAAGTGAGAAAGCAAGCCACCAGGTCCAAGACCTGAAGCATGGTAGGCCATGTCGGAGTCTAGCGCCTTTAAACACTGTTCCAATTGCCGGCCCCCCCAAAAAAATTTTTTTAAGAAAGAAAAGTGGTGCTTTCCAACTGGGAGGAGTTAGCTGCTTAACCTTTAAAACCCCCCCAAAAAAAAAAAAAAAAAAAGGAAAGAAAAAAGAAAAGTAAATAAAGAAGGAAGTGGGGCCCAGCAGATGGCATCGCTGGGCTCCCACAAGGCTGACCAGGGTTCACGTCCCAGACCCGGTGGCTTGAAAACCACGCTGGCTATGTGTACATGCCCAAGGTGCCCAGAGGAGAAGAGATTAGGGCATGGCCATCCCCTCTGGGGGATAGTTTCTCACTTTCTGTCCTGTCTCTTTGAGTGCACATGAACTAAGGCAAAACCCTCTAAAAAAAAAAAAAGTTGGAAAAGTCATGATGTGTTTTTCTGTTTTTTTTTTTCTCCTGTATTTTTCTGTTTTCCTATGCAAAAATGCATCCTGACCTTTCCAATGACACAATAGTTAGAACTTTTTTTTTTTGAGAAGTTTTTGCTATAGGGCACATGTGCTCACCAGACAGACAGAGACAGAGAGACAGAAAGAGAGAAATCACCCCCCCAGGGGGGATGGTCACGCCACAGTCCCTTCTCCTCCATTCTCCTCTCGGGATCTTGGGCATGCACGCACACGCGCCCGGCGTGAGTTTAAGCCACCAGGTCCGGGACTCGAACCCCGGTCAACTACATGGGAGTCCAGCGACATAGCCATGACGCCAACTGCTGGTCCCATAGTTAGAACGTTTACTGTAAGGAGGGAAGGTAGGCCATCTCTTTAACTTCCCTGCTTCACCAAGCACAATGTCATTTTTTTTCTTTTTTGTTTTATCATAGGATATGTGCACTTACTGGCGAGAGAGACAGAGACAGTGAGCAAGAAAGTGAGAAATCATCCCCAGAAGGACGGCCACACTACAGTCCTTTCTCTGTTCTCGTTTAGGGATTTGGGGCATACACTCACTGGCACCCGGTGTGATTTTCATTCCACCGGATCCAGGATTCAAACCGTGGTCGCCCATCTGAGAGTATAGCACCTTAACCATCATACCACCTTCTGGCGCTCATGGTCACTCCTAACTCCACATAAGTGGGTTTTTTTGGGAGATGTTTTTGCTACAGGACGCTTGCGCTCACCAGAAAGACAGACAGACAGAAAGCGAGTCATCACCCCCCAGGGGGGATGGCCACACCGCAATCCCTTCTCCTCCATTCTCCTCTCGGGATCTTGGGCATGCACGCACACGCGCCCGGTGTGAGTTTAAACCACCGGGTCCGGGACTCGAACCCTGGTCAACTACATGGGAGTCCAGCGACATAGCCACAACGCTAACTGCGGGTCCCGTCATGAGTGTTTTTTGTCTCAAGGTCTGCAGACCACTCAAAACGGCCGGTTCTATGCCATCTCTGCGCGCTTCAAACCGTTTACCAATAAGGGGAAGACGCTGGTCCTTCAGTACACGGTGAAGCACGAGCAGAAGATGGACTGCGGAGGGGGCTACGTTAAGGTCTTCCCTGCGGACCTGGATCAGAAGAACCTGAACGGGAAGTCGCCCTACTACATCATGTTCGGTGGGTTTCCATTGCACAGCGCGGCCATCTCTCGTGACCCTGAAAGCTCTCGCGCCTCGCGAGACTACGGCTGGACTAAGGCAGTAGTATCGAATATAGCTGGCCCAAGCTTTTTAGCACTGTTGGACCTAATTAGAAAGGCATGCACAGGGCTGGCAGGTGGCGTGGTGGTTAAGGATGCTGGACTCCCGCATGGCTGACTGCGGTTTGAGTCCTGGATCTGGCATGCTTACTCACTTTCTCTCTCTTTCTCACTCTGTCCCTCTCTGGTCAAATTAAAATAAAGTTAAATAAAATCATTCTTTTAAAAAATTATTTAATTTTTCATTTATGCATTTATTTTAATTTGACCAGAGAGACACACAGAGAGAGAAAGAGAGAGAGAAAGTGAGAAAGCAAACCACTAGGTCCGGGACTTGAACTGTGGTTGGCCATGTGGGAGTGTCCAGCGCCTTAATCCCCACACCACTTTCTGACTCCAATAAAATATTCTTTTTTCTTTTTTTTGTTTTTAATTCGTTTTTTTGCAGAGGTTTTTGCTATAGGGCGCATGCGCTCACCAGACAGACAGAGAGAGACAGAGATACAGAAAGCAAGAAATCACCCCCCAGGGGGGATGGCCACGCTGCAATCCCTTCTCCATTCTCCTCCTGGGATCTTGGACACGCATGCACACGCGCCCGGTGTGTGTTTAAGCCACCGGGTCTGGGACTCGAACTGTGGTCGACTACGTGGGAGTCCAGCAACAGCCATTACACCAACTGCTGGTCCCCAATAAAATATTCTTAAAAAAAAAAAAAAAAAAAAGCACTCATATATTATGGAGCTAACAGAGGTATAGTGGTTAGGGTGCTCAACTCCCAGTACCAGCAGTTAGCGTAATGGCTATGTCGCTGAACTCCCATGTAGTCAACCACAGTTCAAGTCCTGGTCCCAGCTTAAACTCGCACTAGGTGCATGTGCGTGCGTGCCCAAGATCCCGAGAGGAGAATGGAGGAGAAGGGATTGCGGCGTGGCCATCCCCCCTGGGGGGTGATTTCTCACTTTCTGTCTCTGTCTTTCTGGCAAGCGCACACTACCTATAGCAAAAACCTCCAAAAAAAGAAAAGAAAAAAGAAAAAAAAGTCATGTACTACATACCCTTTCACCCAGTGGTGGGCTGGGTACACGATGGTGGAGTATTCGATACTACATACCAAGCAGCCTCGGTGTACAGTAAGCGCTCCCACCTGGGTCTGTGTATATCAACTCTACAGTAGCCACATAATGACACAGTTACCTAAGGATGCATTTTTCCAGAACTCGTCATTGAGCAATGCATTACTGTGATAAAAACGCTGGGGCCAGCAGGTGGCGCCGTGGTGAAGGCACTGGATCTCACATGGGCAATTCCTTGGTTTGAGTCCCAGACTGAGTGCCCTGAAAAATATACCACACGTGTGTGCATGCCCAAAATCCCAGGAGGAGAATGGAGGAGAGATTGCAGCATGGCCATTCCCCTGGGGAGGTGATTTCTCGCTTTCTGTCTCTCTCTATCTCTCCAGCGAGCAAGAATTCACCTTAAAAATT